CTTGTAAGCAGCATATAGATGGGTCTTGCTTTTTTATCCATTCTATTACTCTGTGTCTTTTGATTGGTGCATTCAGTCCATTTACATTTAGGGTGATTATTGATAGATATGTACTTATTGCCATTGCAGGCTTTGGATTCATGGTTGCCAAAGGTTCAAGGGTAGCTTGTTTACTATCTAACCATCTAACTTTAATTCACTTATTACACTATTATAAACACAGTCTGATGATTCTTTATTTCTCTCCCTTCTTCTTCCTCCTCTACTCTATATGTTAGGTGTTTTATTCTGTACTCTTTTGTGTTTCCCTTGACTGCTTTTGTGGATAGCTGATTTTATATTTTGCCTTTAGTTAGTATTTGGTTGGTCTGCTTTCTTTCCTGTGATTTTATTTTCTCTGGTGACATCTATTTAGCCCTAGGAGTACTTCCATCTAGAGCAGTCCCTTTAAAATACCCTGTAGAGGTGGTTCGTGGGAGGCAAATTCCAGCAACTTATGCTTATCTGGAAATTATTTAATCCCTCCTTAAAATTTAATGAGAACCTTGCTGGATACAGTATTCTTGGTTCAAGGCCCTTCTGTTTAATTGCATTAAATATATCATGCCATTCTCTTCTGTCCTGTAAGGTTTCTGTTGGGAAGTCTCATGATAGCCTAATGGGTTTTCCTTTGTAGGTGATCTTTTTTCTCTCTAGCTGCCTTTAGTACCCTGTCCTTGTCTTTGATCTTTGCCATTTTAATTATTATATGTGTTGGTGTTGTCCTCCTTGGGTTCCTTTTTTGGGAGATCTGTGGGCTTCCATGGTCTGAGAGACTATTTCCTTCCCCAGCTTGGGAAGGTTTTCATCAATTATTTCTTCAAAGACACTTTCTATCTCTTTTTCTCTCTCTTCTTCTGGACCCCCTATAATGTGAATATTGTTCCATTTGGATTGGTCACACAGTTCTCTTAATATTCTTTCATTCCTAGAGATCCTTTTATCTCTCCCTGCCTCAGCTTCTCTGTATTCCTGTTCTCTGATTTCTATTCCATTACCAGTCTCTTACATCTCATCCAGTCAGCTCTTAAGTCCTTCTATTGATTGTTTCATTTCTGTTATCTCCCTATGGACTTCATCCCTTTGCTCTTGAATATTTCTCTGCAGCTCTATCAGCATGGTTATAACTTTTATTTTGAATTCTTTTTCTCGAAGATTGGTTATATCTATCTTGCCAGGCCCTCTCTCTGGCATTAAGTGATTTTGAACTGGACCAGATTCTTTTGCCTTTTCATGGCAATACAAATGATCGCTGGCAAGTGGCGTGTGTGTCTGCTGGGAGAACAAAGTCCCTTCCTGGTTGCTCATCGCCTGCCTTGCCCTTCTCTGCTGCCTCTGCCAGTTACCCATGCAGAGGTGTGTTCTCCTGCAAGAACAGCGCTCCTTCATGCTTTCTGGACCTTCTGCTGGCTTCCTTTTCCTGTGCAGGGCATAGGCAGCAGCCTCTGGGTCTGGTCCGGTTAGCTGCACACTGGGAGAAGACTGTGTGGTTGCTGTGGGCGGGGCTGCTCCCCAGCTGGTCTGCATTAGTGGCTGGTCATCCAGTTTGCTTGCCACACTGGTGGGGGGAATGAATGGCAGGCTGCTTATTACAGTGAGGGGTTCGGAGCTGCATTGCCACCCAGGGGATTAGGGTGCCTGAAGTTCCTTAAAATTCCAGCCTGCTGGGCTGAGTGTGCTGGTACGATTTTGTCCACCTGTTAAACCCTTGTCCCTTTAAGACTTTTAAAGCGCCTGCTTTTCTTTTGTCCCAGGGGAGCTGGCTATGGGGATCCACTCGCATCCCTGTCTCAGATTTTACTTTTCTGTTTCTCTAATATCCAGTACACCATGCAATGTGTGTCTGTGCTCCCTGTGCAGATTACTAGGGCTGGTTATTTAGCAGTCCTGTGCTTCCACTCCCTCCCCACTCTGATTCTTTTCCTCCTGCTGGTGAGCTGGGGTCGGGGGAGTGTTCGGGTCCCACCAGGTCATGACTTTGTATCTTACCCTTTTTGTGAGATGCTGAGTTCTCGCAAATGTAGTGTAGCCTGCCTGTTGTACTGTATCTTACAGTCTCTCTTTTAGGAATTGTTGTATTTGCTATATTTTAAAAATATATATGGTTTTGGGAGGAGATTTCCACTGCCCTATTCACCCTGCCATCTTGAGCACCCCTTGAAGTATCTTTATATACAGTCTTATATTGATTTCAAATATACAACACTGGTTTAACAGTTACCCATAGTATTAAATCGTCATCCCCACTAGTGTGGTTACTATCTGTCAATGTTTCACTAATTTTAACATTATAGCTTTTTAGAGTATTTGAGGTATATTTACCCTTAATTAATTAAATTTTAAAGTTATTAATATACTTGGGAGTGTTTTGCTTATTAGTGTTGAAGGTTATCTGAGCAGGTATTTGAAGTGCTTATTGAAAAAAAGCAAATGCATTAGATTTACAATTGCCCCTTTAAAATGTTTAAAGGAATTTCTATTAAGTTTGTAAAAGGGACTTATTTTTAAAGGGATTTTAGTCTGTTCAATTGGAGTTTATCAAAGTAATAAAAGGCCCTCTTATTTTATATGAAAATTTACTAGACTTATAAAGATTTAGTTGAACTTAAAAAACTTTAATGAAAACTAGGCCTCTGCATTTGTTACTTTTTCAACTATCATTAATTTTTAATGAAGCAGCTATAAATAGTTCTATGCACATAAACTCACACTGATTCTTATTCTAGTTGAGTATAAGTATATAATTATAAGTGAGATTGTCAAAAGCATTTTATGAATGTATGTGTGGGTTTATTAATTCATTCAGCACCAACATGGTGCTAGGTACTATAGGTAGGCCTAGTCCTAAGCAAGAATATAATGTAACAAAGTCCACTTTCAAAAAAGTGTTATGGCAGAAGAGATTTACTCAATTGGATGCAGCTTCAATGAGGAGGTGGCTCTATGGAGGAACAGATGCTTATTAACACCATTCTAGGTAGATGGAACAGCTTGAACAAAGCATACATGGGATATTTAGGCAAAGATGAGATTTTGTGATCCTGGTGGAAGTTAAAAAAAAATTATCTCTAGTTACTCTTACGTGCCTTTTTTAAACAAAAATCATTTTCTAATGGAGAGTTAATGGCAGGGTCAGAGTGTATTCCAGAGGAAATGTATTGAGTAAGTCGGTCACTCACAAGTTAGTCACCTGAGCAAATCACACCTAAGTGGAAATGCAGTGCAATTCCTAACCCTATCCTCAGACCCTGCTCGCTCAGGGAGTCAGAATTGTTAGCATTTATTGAACTTACTATGTGCCCAGCTCTAAGCACTTAACATGTATCAGTTCATTTAACCCTCACAACCATAAGAGATAGATTTATTACCACCATTTTGAAGTCAAGGAAATTGAGGCAGAAAGGGGTTAAGAAGATGACAAAGGTAAGTGGCAGGACCAGGATCTGAACCTTGCGTGGGCCATTACCTCTTTCTGGAACGATCATGCCCTCATTGTCTCAGGTTGGCTCCTGGTCATCTTTCAGGTCTTAGCTTCAAAATCACTTCCTTAGAGAAGCCCCCTAGCTCAGTTTCTCTTGAACAGATTCCCCTTGTTCTTCTGTAATTCAGACCCTTATTTATTCCCTTCCTAGCACTTCTTATGAATTTAAATTTTTTCCTACTTTATTTATTTACTTTTCCCACTAGAATCTAAGTTCCATTAAGGTAGGGACCGTATATCTGTCTTGTTCATCTCCTATTCCCAGTGCCTTGTACAGGATATAGCATATAGTAGCTGTTCAATAAATGGGTCCATTAATATATAAACTGATATTGACTTCACAGTTCATTCTTCCCTAGTCATTCTGCTACACACATAGTAAGTGGGAATATCCCATTTAAGCATAATACTGTATTATTGACTCAGGTTGTTACTCAGCAGCAAGCTTTTCTGTGTATGCCTAGAATTTTTACAACAATGATAACCAGTTTCTTGGAGAAGGAAGAGTAAGCCTCACCATACAGAAAATAAACATACTCAGCAGGATAAAAACCAGTTTGAATTGACACACACCAAAAATTCACCAGTGTGTGTTGTTGGAGAAACATTTATTACAATTAAGTGTCAAAAATTTTTACAAAAATATGCCACTGTCTGGTACAAACAGCTATAAAAAAATCAGTTCATCATGCAAGAAAAGTGTGCCAATAATTTATACAGATGGACTCAGCTCACACAATAGTAAATAAACATCTTTGCATGTAATTGGTCTAACCTTATATTTTTAGTTACAATGTTCAACCCCCTATAGTATTTTTCATTAAAAAAGCAAAGCTTCTAAGCTTAGGACATGGACTTTATATACATCCCCTTTGGCTGGGGTAATTGGCACTTGGTAAAGATGGTGCCAAGAGCTCTCAAGTGCAGAGCACTGCTTGGAGCCTTCTGTTTAACAGACCTACCTGTTCATCATTAATTAAACAAACATTTCTGTACTCAAAGACAGAAAAAGTCATGTTCAAACTTCAGAATTAATGCTGTAGCAAATGGAGTTTCAAGAAGTTCAGAATTTTAGAGCAGCCATCCATTTTTGGACAAATGGAGAAGGGCCTAAGTTTTGGGAAACTTTTCCGGAAGTTTTGTTTGCTGAGTGAGTTCAACGACACTTTGAAAAAATGTCCAGTAGACAAAGTCACAAATATTTGTGGTCCCTTCTCTTTGCTGCCTCTTGGAATAATTCCCCTCTGCTTGATGAAGATGAGGCTTAGCAGAATGTGAACTTCCACTGGGATAGAAGCTCACCAGATTTCACAGCAGGTATCCGAGAATGGGGAAATGGACAGGATGGACTAAATGTACCTCTTAGTCTAAGGGGAGAGGAAATGATTCCTGCTTGGTTACCATCAGAACCTCAGTTTCTAGAAAGCAAGCTGACTCCTCAGCTGCTATCTGTCTTTAGGGTCCCCTTTATAATTAAGTTATAAGTACCCAGGGAAAAATGAATTTGTCAAAATACCCCACTTGTTTTAGGAAGAGAAGATTGTATGCACTAGAATGTTGTGCTCACAACAGCATCAGAGGTTTATAAAAATGTTAAGTGGCTCCTTAACTTCTCCAGGAAGAATCAGGGACTTAAAATATTTGGAAAAGTTAATGGCCAGATGCCTAACAGTGGACCCGTGCGCTTGCCTTCCACAGTGAAGATCTTGAGAAGAATCACATGGGGTGTCATTATGTTTCCAGCCACAGCAAAAGGTACTGGGGCAGGGGACACAAAGTCAAGGCCTCAGAAAACCCCAGGTTTATACGCAGGTCCACCACCAAGTATCTGGTGGGCTGAGGCATGACTCCTGAATATTCTAGACCCCTTACTTCATCTTGAAAGGCTGGCAGAGTGCCAGACTCCACCATCTCTAACCTCCCTTCCAATGCTAGAGTCTGGGGTAGGAGTTTCCTTCCCTTGGAAAACCATAGAGGGTTTATTGTCCTTAACAAAACAGAGAAGAAAGCGTCTACAGAAAACACTGAGTTTAAAGGAATTACGACCTTGTTTATTGAAGACATCAAGGGCCCAAGATATATCAAAGAGCCATGTCTCTGAATTTGCCTACAGGTTCAGGGTGTTTCTGAGGTCTGTTTAAACACTAATAGGATTTTAGGCCAGCATCCAGTCAGAAGGGATGGTTCACAGACTCAGACAGTTGGAAACAGATTAAAAAAAAAAAAGTCAACATAGAAAATGATGATATAGTTAGTTAAAAAAATTCACCCATAAAATTACAGTTTAAAAAATGCACACATAAAATAGAGAGTTTGCATAGCAGGACATTATTGTCTGAAAGCCTGGCAGAAAAATATAAACTCAGGTGCATGTCTTATGATAAACATTGTATTGAACACTAAGAATGATACACTGTTGAACATGTCTTGTAATGATTGACCTTCTTATAAATCACAGTACTTGCTTGGAAAAATACAATTCTAAGCTCTTTCTCTTCTCCCACATAAAAACAACAGAAACAAGGAGCCTCTGCTAATTCCAAGTTCTTCATGAAAAAGTTTTTGAAACCACAAAAATGGAAACTGTGGCAATAACATGCTCATAACTTTACCTTGCTGTTACCAAATAAACCCCGCTTTTGCACTGAGAGTTTTGTAAACCCACCCTGTCTAAAATATCTGAGCCCTTCAATGTAAGATTGATCATCACTAAACAGATGTCATCTCACAGCTGACACTCTGGGTATGTTTTTACCTGGGAGTTTTCTCTCACTTGTCCCATGTGACTGATCCATCCACTCAAAGTAACAATGTTGAGTAATATTGCAATCTAGTTTAAGATGTCATTCGACTTCTTTTCTGGATATTGCAATAAAGTGAGCACTCCTAAACTTCACATATTCCCCTTTCCCCAAATGCCTACTCTCAAGAGACTCCAGGCTCCTTGCTCAGAAACCTATAAGTTGGACCAAATCATAATATCCTTGCTCACACTGTCCTCTTTCCTTCCCTTGAGGTCCAAATTACTTTATATTTGATGTCAATTTTAAATTCTACATTACAGGGTTGGTGTGAGGGTAGAAAAGTAGATCAAAGAGAGTAGAGCATTCTGTCTCTCCCAGCAACTTCCATTGTCATGTCCCTTCTGGCTTTTAGACCAACGGTTGTGAGACAGGGATTCTTCACTTTTTTTTTAAGCTTGTCCTGGGAGGGTTTGCTAGTAGAAATTCTACAGATGATGAGTGCCCAGGGAACAAGAATTTTCTTTTCAACTCACTTTACTTGTATGTGAGGCTCTAGCCATGCTTAACTGCTACCATGCAGTGCCTGCACAGATGCTCTACACCCTCCACGCTCTTCCCCCTTGCTCTCACACAAACCACAGCCATCAAAGATTTGCCATTTCTATTCCTTTCTCTCTCCCTCTCCACCTGCCATTTCCTTCCTTTTTCTTCTCTTCCAATGGAGAAGAACCACAAGTGTTTCTTTTTTTCTTAAAGGATGTCCTTGACTCAGTCACAGACCACCTCCAGAAATGCCAAATGAGACGGGGAGAGCCCAGGGGCACCACCTAGGTAAACATTTCAAAAATTAAGCCTGTCATTTGTGGTAGGGGTCATCTGGCCCAGCTACACCTGCTGCATGGTATAGTAAGATGTGCACTCAGAGCATTGCAGACAGTCCAGATGAGACAGGTTTGCCAGTTTTGTGCTGAGAGTCCAAAGAAGGCAACATTCCTGGGACCACAAACTGCAGGTACTGAGGACTTCCCACCAACTCGATCAGCGCAAAGGGGCAGAGGTTATGAGTTGGTGGGGAGATGTGATGACCATAAATGCTTAAACCTAAAAATGTCAGTTTCCAGAGCTTTCAAGCAAAATAAAACCAGCTCCATCCCACATCTTTAAGGAAGCTGAGACATCTGAGAGAACCTATCTGAATTATGGAAGAACTAGCTTCTTATTTGGCAACCAAGGTCCTGCAGGCTCAATGTGACTTTACTTGGAGTGGGGGTGCAGGGGGGTAGGGGGGAGTAGCAAAACCCCTTAGATATTACAGTGGTTTGTGGCCCTCCAAAGCTCAACCTTACCCAGTAATATTCTTTACTTTTTTTCATTAGAGAGAATTTAAATTCAATTTAATTTTTTCTTCTTAGAGGAGTAATATGAAAATAAATATTAAAGAACCCTGGTGCAGGTACAAACATTGCAGAGTGAGGAGCACTGACTGGTGGTTGGCTTCTGCTCAGAATGCTGGTTATTTAGGTTGTGTTATCAGGTACAGGCATGAAGAGGCCCTGGCTGGTCCTCTGGATTGTTCCTGTACATGCTTAACCATCTTTCTCCTCTTCAGGGCACCCCAAGATTCAACCCCTAAGAATATACTGTTTCTTAACATGTATGTGAATCAAGTTTCTATTTCAGGCTCACATATTTACCAAGGGCATGCAGGATGACAATGTCATTTGAAAAAAAAAAGAAAGGGCAAAGCAAATACAACTTCAAAAATATGTACATTGTAGAAAAGCAAAATTCTATAACAAGTAAAAAACAAAAACATATACCCCCACCCCAGCCCCACCACCACCACTCCCAGGAATATTTGACAATAAGCTCATTAAGTCCTGAGGTTTCCTTACTTCCATGTAATTACCTGCTGATATTTGCCTAGCAAGATCCCCTGGGGTATGGAGCATGTTTAGGATGAACTCACAGGACCTCTGTTCCCTATTTGGCTGGAACTCCAGGTCTTATTTCATCACCCCTGCAAGGTTGACTGAATTTTGATGTTGGACATAAAGAAAAGAAAGCTCCTCAGCTCATCACCCGCCAAGAGGAACAGCAGACGGTAAACTGTTTAGCTGATACGTAAAACCTGTTTTACAAGCCTTTATCAGCACTCTGGCTCCAACCAGTCCACAGAGATAGCTTATCCATGAAGCTACTCCGAGAAGCCCAGACAAGCCAAAAAGTTAAACAGGAATGACTCTTCACAGCTATTGGGTGACTAATTCTCTCTTTTCTGTGGCAGGCCTTCCTCTGGGACTGTTTTTAATTGGCCTTATGTTGCCCTGAACGAGCTACAACATAAAAGGAAAAGAGGCGTATGTGTTTTTGGGTTGTTCTAGAAAACAGGCGACTCCGAAGGGTGCCCTAGGCACCTAAAAAGGAAATCTGAAACATTAGGATTGCTTTCCAAACCCCTTTCTATTTTAAATCACTTTTTATATGATGAAAAGACAAGAAAAACAGACACTGCCTAGTGGACAACGCACTTTGTCAAAGAGAGCACTGCAGGCTTTCCGAGGTAGACTATTGTGTGATATCTTCGCCAGATGAGGCCCTGCCCAGGCGTGTTTAAGCTGGGTGACGCTTCCTTTGCCTTTTCAAAACAAACCCCAAATCAAAACCAAAGCCCAGGGATTTCTCATATGTATTTTTCTTCTTTAAAACAAATTTACACATTGTAAACAAAGAGTGTTCTATCTTGTATGTGAATTTTGCCATTTTCTTCCACATCTCTGGGGAACTATAAAGGAGTTTCAATGAACATCAAAAGAATTCAATTTTCACTGATGCAACAGAATTCCTGCCTCTATAGTCTTGCTGACAAATCATTAGGAAAAAAGTTTATTTACAGTATTTCTGTTTTTCCATACCAATTCTAATGAGAAGTCCATATTCTTAAATTCCCAGCTAGGACCTGTATCTTTCCCCTCCAATGTCCTCTCAATGACTTATCTTAGAAGTTTCGAGCCAATGTTTAAAATGTACACTATTTACAAATGAAGTGTCCAAACTCTGTATTCCCAGCCATCCAATCAGCAGGGGAACCCTTCCAAAGTGGTGTCATGTGCTGGGATTCAGAACTTGAATAAGTTGATAAAGTCCTGGGGTGAAAGTGAAACGGAGCAGCTCTGCGGGTTATTGGCTGTGCACGGGTGGTCAGTGCCCTGGAAAGGAACATCATGGTCAGGTTTGAGCTCTCAGAAGCATCTCACTGGCTTGTAGCACTGAAAGGCATTGCCCAACCTCAAAACAACATTCCACTGCTCTGGAAAAACTTAAGAGCTTTGTGTGCGTGCGTGCGTGCGTGCGCGTGTGTGTGTGTGTACCTGTGCACAAAGAGATGGGAGAACTTGGGGGTAGGTGTGTTGCAGAAAAAATATACATTGGGGGCAAAGGAAGTTAAGATTTTGAGTATTTTTCTTCCCAGGGACTAGATCAGTTTTGCCATCATCTTTAGCTGGGGCTGCAATCATGAAAAGTAGGGAAGGATTTGGCATTGCCATTCTGGTGCTCTTGTCTCTTAGGGGCTGCGATGGGGTGGGCTGGGGGGGTCTGTGGCAGCCACCTCGAGACACATACCTTCCAAGAAAGAATGTGACAATGTTTGCAAAGCTGAAGGGTGTCTCCATACTGTTCTCTCCGTGGGTAACATCGCACAAGTTTAAAATACATTTTCTTCCAATCCAGCTGGCCTTTGTCTGACAAAATCAATCGCTTGCGGATCTAAATATCAAACAAATAAAAGTAGTTGCAGGAGAGTTCATCAAGAAGACGCTTTGTGGTTTTCTGGTTCTGAAAAGTTCTGTTCATGTCACCTTTCCCCCTTTTCCATCTGTACCCTGCAATAGCCAGGGAAAAAAATAGACAAGATAAAAAGAAACACCTTCTGGGCCAGTTAAACCCAGTTAAACCCAAGCTGATTAACAGTCTTTAAGAGAAGCAAGTGTCTGGTCACATCTTCCTGGTGACTCCTAGTAAACTACCACTGGTAATCCTTTAATGTTTAGGTGATCTCAGTAAACTTAAATCTTCTTTGCTACAGGCTTGAGTGATTATTTACAGGGAGATGCGTAATTGCTTGGTACAGTGGCTCTATTTCCTATTTAATATTGGTGGCTTACATGAGCAGAACTTGATGAACTCACACATCTATATAAAGAAACTGGGGAAAAACCCCGAGGCAGCATGAAGAGGGGAGGCACGCCTAGAGCTGGTGTCGGGCCAAATTCAAATTCAAGGCCAGTTTTCTCACCTGGAGAGGCACTTTACTAATTTGGATATGACACAGCCATTGTGGGCTTAGTCTCTTCATCTGTTTCACGTGAGCATAATGATACCCTTCCCTGGGCTGTGAGAATAAAATGAAGTAATATCTGTAAAAGTGCTTTATAAAATATCATAAAATTAAGTTAGTTTTTGTAAGTTACTTTAGAAAAGAAGGTTTGGTGCCACTTTATGAATTTTTTTTGAACAAGTTGTAGAGTGTGAGTTGGTTAAAATTTTTGTTTCCCATTAAAACCACCTATAAAGAAATCCCCTCACATACATTATTTAGAAACTCCTTGGACTGTTTTTTCCTGTCAACCAGGGAGCCCTGGAGAGAGGGGAACCCACACATCATGCTTAAGAGGAACACCATGGAAGTCTGCGGGGGGAGGGTGGGCAGAAAAGGGAGGGGGATGCCTACTGGGCCCCACTGACCTGGCGCTCTGAGAAGTGGTACTGACAGAGCCTCTTCCACAGGAGACGGTCCTCGCTGAGCACATGCAGGTCGGGGGCCACCTGGCCCAGGCTGACCAGGTCCCGCCCATCGCTCAGCCTCTGCATGATGTTGAGTTGTAAGCACAGAGGCAGGTCAGTGAAGGTGAGGCCTTTGAAGGCAGGCTGTGGGGAGAAGGGTGACGATGAGTTGTAAGCTGCGGGGGCAGAGGGCAGCAGTTCACCAAGTGACGCCCTCCAGGGCTGCAGCCATCCCCTCATCCTCCACTAGCAATTCTCCCTGCCCTAAATGCAGAAACAGGACTGATGGGTGAGACCCATGAAGAATAGCCTGGAGCAGCTCAAGCTGAATGATGCCAGAGGGATTTTCGTGTTTCACAAAGCTTTATACTTTTAAAGATTCTCCAAATAGCAGATGTTGGATTCCTGTGCTTCAATTTACTCAGTTCACTCAATTACAAAATTCTCTATCTCCCTCCAGGGGTCACTGCACTGGACAGGGTGCCCTGCCTGCCAACCCAGCCTCAGATCCCACTGTCCCCCTTGTGACCACTGGTCTCTCCAAGCAGGTTTTCTTGCTGGCATCCAGCACGCTGCCCACTAGGCCCGTCCTCTGCCTAGTCCTCTCTGCCCTCCTCAGATCCAGTTCAAACCCACTTCCTCTGAAAGGCCTTTTCTGCTTTTGTGACTACCTTAGGCTTTATTCATTGCATCTTCCTAGAATTCCTCAGATCTCTTTCAGATATTTATTGCAAAAATCTCCCTTTTGTTAAGTAATGCAAAACTTTTCTAAAAGAAACCTTGACTGGAATATTCCAGCTAAAATGTAAGTGCCTTCGAGGCAGGAATTTTTGTCTTTTTTCATTGCTTTGTCCTTAGAGTCTAGAAGAATGCCTGGCATACACTAGGCGCTCAATAAATATTGGGTGGTGGTGGTGGTGAATGGAACCCAAATAAATAAGTAGGCAAAACAACAAAAGGGCCCTGTATCAGGGTGTGTAATTGTGCTTTGGGAATGGCTGGCCCAGAATGCATGGCCCAACTGCCGCCATCCACAGGGGCATCTCTAGTCAAACCTATGACTCCATAGAACATTTTGAAAACTCCTTGTCTGTGGATAAAATATTGACCGTTAGTCCTGAGGTTTTTCAGGATTGTCTTCTATTACATCCCTGAACTTATATTTAAACCCTTTATTGTTTAAATTTTGATGAGCTCGTATTACCCTACCTAGACCTAGGTCCTTGAAGGCAGGGTCTAATTTCATATCCCTGCAGACTAGCCCAGCACAAATGACTTCTTTTGAGGGCAAGAAACTCAGAAACATAAGCAAATAATTATTGAACAAAATGTTTAATGCTATCAAGGAGTTAAGCACAAAGTGCTCTGGGAACAGTCTGTACACAGTAGATCCTCACTAGTTATTTGCTGATATCTCTTGAACAGCAACTGGATGCTGCCATTTGGATAAGAAGTCAGCACAAATCACCTGAGAATGTACTTTGTCCTTCTTATGCTAGTCCTGATGTTTGACTTGATTGATTACTTGATTTTTGACTATTGACATTTTTAGCTCAGTGTTCTGTCCTCTCTGTGGGGAGTTACAGGGAAAAAAAACAGGATGAAGAAACCCTTCCTTAGCTCAGGGAAAACATTCTGGGAATGGGTATCAAATTCCCTCCCCAAGTTCCTAGGGAACTAAACTTGGTTTGAGGCACATCAAAGCCCAAACACACAGGATTTCAGGGCGATACGCAGTCTTGGCAGTTCCCACCTGTGTCCCCTGAAAAGCAGGACAGGTGTATAGAGGGAAGGTGGCCGGGAGCCTTGGGAAGGGGGCCATGGAGAAGAAGGGGGGGTGGCATGGGAGGAAGGTGGGATGGACAAGCAGCATATATGGATCCCAGGTGCCTTGGGAAGTCTGGGCCTCAATTTCCCCATGTCCAACATGAATCAGTTTAGAAGACTCCGAAGGTCCCTTCCAGCTCCAACAACTGCAGATTTGGAGCAGCTTCAGCCTTGTAACTCATCAGATGTATCTATGACTTGACAGTTTATATTGGTCAGGCTGCTGGGCTGAACTTTCAATTGTTAGCGAAATCCAGGACTTCGCTGGACTGCTGAACGTCCTAGACCTGTTTGTCATTTATCATCTGCTGCTGATCATATGAGCTAATAAAACTGCCATGAGGTTTTCTTTTTGTTTCCAGCACTTCAAAGCATCTACTTTTTTGGTTAAAACTCCCAGGCCAATTATTACATGAACTCCTATTTAAGTCCACTTGGCAGAGTTCACTTTCAAATTTTCAGACCTGAACTTTTCCAAAATCCTTGCCCAGACCCCATGCTGAGCCCTCACTCCTGATACATGGTTAACTGCTTGCGTGCATTCTTCTTTTTGAATATAAACGTATTTTTAAAAGCCACTCTTGCCCCTCCCATTGAGCAGTTGACTAAAATCCTTTTATGTCCATCCTGCCCCCACTTGCTCCAACACTACTTTGCCCACAGTACAGTGATTCTATTTGATTTTTTCCCCTCCAAATCAGTTCTCTCAGTTTTTTTCCCCCTTCATCCTTTAATAATTATTTTTGCCAATAAAAATTGGCTCTACAGAATTATATATCATGTCTTGAAGGAAAATTAGTTTATGTGCTGAGAAGATACTGAAAGAACTTTGGCCAATACAAAGCAATTACGCTCTAAATGTCACCTTAACATTTTTGTGTAATAAACTGTTAAGTAAGTTTTTTTTTTTTAAATTTTGGCATCATTAATCCACAACTACATGAAAGACGCTATGTCCACTAAGCCACCCCCTCACCAAGTCACACCCCCACACCCCCACAGTCACCATCCATCAGTGCAGCAAGATGCTGCAAAATCCCCACCCGTCCCCTCCACGCTGCACAGCCCTCCCCACACCCCCCCACACCACACATGCCAATCATAATGCCCCCCTTTAGGTAAGTTTTAAAATATAGTCCAGACTGAAGTAACTAAGTCCTCTCTCAATCTTTCTTTCCTCTGGAGAGTTGGATATTTGTGTGAAAAGCTCTTCAGAGCTCCATGGGTTTCTAGCACTGCTCTCAAAATAATGCTGCTCAGAGCCAAGGAGGATTGGGAAGGAAGGCATAAGGGAGGAGGGGGCAGTGGGTAAAAGCACAGTCCCCATAGACAGGCCTGGGTTCAGTCCACATGCTGCACCTTACCTGTAGTGAGGCTTAGGCCAGACTATTCTCAACTACTCCATCTAATATTTCTCATTTATAAAATGAGGAAAAGCATATCCTATAGTGTTGCTGGACAGAGAGGATGAGATAAGCATAGAAGTATTTAGCATAGTGCCCAATAAATACTAGCTATTATAATAGCTCCTGCTTGTAATTATTCACTTGATGAGTTAATATATGTGAAGGACTTAGAACTGAGTGTCCACCGCCGACACATTTGCATACTGTGTCTCCATGCATTCTCCATGGTGGACGCTTCCTGATAAATAGCAAGAACACAAGCACTTTCTATATGTAAACTTACTAAATCTTACACCAGGGCTATGTGGTAGGCATTACTGCCCTATCATCCATACAGGACGTGTTCCAATCGTATTCCTCTTAACTCTGAACAAGTACTTCAGGCAGGGGGAGACATCCCTTCATTCATTCATTCATCTAAAATTTATTAGCTGCTTTCTGCTCTTGTGTAAGGTGGAGGCAAGAAAGGAGAGGCCAAGATGGTAGTGCCCTTTCTTTGTGGTGTTTATAAGCCAGTGGTGGAGACAGGAAAGTGAATATATGTATAATTTCAGATGGTAATAACTGCTCTGTAGAAGGTGAGATGATAGTGGCTCCAGCAGACTGGATGGGCAGAGGAGGCAGCAAGCTCAAAAGCCCTGAGGCAGGACCAAGCTTAGAATGTGCAGAGAATAGTTTGGCCTGGATGCAGGGCCATGAGCAGAGGGGAGAGCGAGATGAACGTCAGTGTTTGATCTGTCCTGTATGGGTTTTTATGGGATTTAAAAGGTCTGCAAAAAACTGGATTATTGAATGTGTAGTTGGAAGAAACCTGGGTTGAAAAAAAGTTTCAAAAGCACTGATGTTAAGAAACCTTCACCATTTTAGGACTGAGGAGACCAGGTTCTGGCCTTAGCTCTGGCCCTAATTGCTGTCAAACTCAGGGAAAGTCACTGGGTTTCTCTGGTCCCCTCTCCACTCTGGCACTATGAAGGTAAGAGCACCTACAATGGCTACCACCCAGAGTGTTTGTGTGTTGCAACCCCAGGGTTTCTAGGGAAGTAAGCTCATGGAAGTGCAAAATTCATGGGCAGTCATGGCCAAAAATCCAAATGGGTGCCCCAGAGTTGCTGGAGAGCACTTGAGACAAATGGGGCTTGCTTATTTATATCACTGGCTGGGTAACTGTCTCCCAGGCTTTGATAAAACAGTAAGTGTTAAGTCCAGGCTATAGAGAATACCAGAATTCAGGTAGGAGGTATACATGGGTTTTCTGTGAGAAATAAGCTCGGAGTTTGGGTCTCAAATTCACACTGTCCAACTATGCCTACACTTGAGAGATGGGGATGAGGTAAATTACTAGAATAAATCAGAAAAATGTTCATAATACCCACACTCTCTTAAAGTAATCAAATAATTGAGATGGCTTTTGGAAGATCCTCTGGGCTCATGCTCTGCTCCATGTGTGCAGGAGTGTGGCAGTGTGGGAGCTGTAGCCTAAGTGATTATAAGGGAGTCACATAACTGAGACTTCTAATTACTCCCTCTGCTTCAGAGCTTAAGAAACGAAGGCCCAGANGGGCACCACCTAGGTAAACATTTCAAAAATTAAGCCTGTCATTTGTGGTAGGGGTCATCTGGCCCAGCTACACCTGCTGCATGGTATAGTAAGATGTGCACTCAGAGCATTGCAGACAGTCCAGATGAGACAGGTTTGCCAGTTTTGTGCTGAGAGTCCAAAGAAGGCAACATTCCTGGGACCACAAACTGCAGGTACTGAGGACTTCCCACCAACTCGATCAGCGCAAAGGGGCAGAGGTTATGAGTTGGTGGGGAGATGTGATGACCATAAATGCTTAAACCTAAAAATGTCAGTTTCCAGAGCTTTCAAGCAAAATAAAACCAGCTCCATCCCACATCTTTAAGGAAGCTGAGACATCTGAGAGAACCTATCTGAATTATGGAAGAACTAGCTTCTTATTTGGCAACCAAGGTCCTGCAGGCTCAATGTGACTTTACTTGGAGTGGGGGTGCAGGGGGGTAGGGGGGAGTAGCAAAACCCCTTAGATATTACAGTGGTTTGTGGCCCTCCAAAGCTCAACCTTACCCAGTAATATTCTTTACTTTTTTTCATTAGAGAGAATTTAAATTCAATTTAATTTTTTCTTCTTAGAGGAGTAATATGAAAATAAATATTAAAGAACCCTGGTGCAGGTACAAACATTGCAGAGTGAGGAGCACTGACTGGTGGTTGGCTTCTGCTCAGAATGCTGGTTATTTAGGTTGTGTTATCAGGTACAGGCATGAAGAGGCCCTGGCTGGTCCTCTGGATTGTTCCTGTACATGCTTAACCATCTTTCTCCTCTTCAGGGCACCCCAAGATTCAACCCCTAAGAATATACTGTTTCTTAACATGTATGTGAATCAAGTTTCTATTTCAGGCTCACATATTTACCAAGGGCATGCAGGATGACAATGTCATTTGAAAAAAAAAAGAAAGGGCAAAGCAAATACAACTTCAAAAATATGTACATTGTAGAAAAGCAAAATTCTATAACAAGTAAAAAACAAAAACATATACCCCCACCCCAGCCCCACCACCACCACTCCCAGGAATATTTGACAATAAGCTCATTAAGTCCTGAGGTTTCCTTACTTCCATGTAATTACCTGCTGATATTTGCCTAGCAAGATCCCCTGGGGTATGGAGCATGTTTAGGATGAACTCACAGGACCTCTGTTCCCTATTTGGCTGGAACTCCAGGTCTTATTTCATCACCCCTGCAAGGTTGACTGAATTTTGATGTTGGACATAAAGAAAAGAAAGCTCCTCAGCTCATCACCCGCCAAGAGGAACAGCAGACGGTAAACTGTTTAGCTGATACGTAAAACCTGTTTTACAAGCCTTTATCAGCACTCTGGCTCCAACCAGTCCACAGAGATAGCTTATCCATGAAGCTACTCCGAGAAGCCCAGACAAGCCAAAAAGTTAAACAGGAATGACTCTTCACAGCTATTGGGTGACTAATTCTCTCTTTTCTGTGGCAGGCCTTCCTCTGGGACTGTTTTTAATTGGCCTTATGTTGCCCTGAACGAGCTACAACATAAAAGGAAAAGAGGCGTATGTGTTTTTGGGTTGTTCTAGAAAACAGGCGACTCCGAAGGGTGCCCTAGGCACCTAAAAAGGAAATCTGAAACATTAGGATTGCTTTCCAAACCCCTTTCTATTTTAAATCACTTTTTATATGATGAAAAGACAAGAAAAACAGACACTGCCTAGTGGACAACGCACTTTGTCAAAGAGAGCACTGCAGGCTTTCCGAGGTAGACTATTGTGTGATATCTTCGCCAGATGAGGCCCTGCCCAGGCGTGTTTAAGCTGGGTGACGCTTCCTTTGCCTTTTCAAAACAAACCCCAAATCAAAACCAAAGCCCAGGGATTTCTCATATGTATTTTTCTTCTTTAAAACAAATTTACACATTGTAAACAAAGAGTGTTCTATCTTGTATGTGAATTTTGCCATTTTCTTCCACATCTCTGGGGAACTATAAAGGAGTTTCAATGAACATCAAAAGAATTCAATTTTCACTGATGCAACAGAATTCCTGCCTCTATAGTCTTGCTGACAAATCATTAGGAAAAAAGTTTATTTACAGTATTTCTGTTTTTCCATACCAATTCTAATGAGAAGTCCATATTCTTAAATTCCCAGCTAGGACCTGTATCTTTCCCCTCCAATGTCCTCTCAATGACTTATCTTAGAAGTTTCGAGCCAATGTTTAAAATGTACACTATTTACAAATGAAGTGTCCAAACTCTGTATTCCCAGCCATCCAATCAGCAGGGGAACCCTTCCAAAGTGGTGTCATGTGCTGGGATTCAGAACTTGAATAAGTTGATAAAGTCCTGGGGTGAAAGTGAAACGGAGCAGCTCTGCGGGTTATTGGCTGTGCACGGGTGGTCAGTGCCCTGGAAAGGAACATCATGGTCAGGTTTGAGCTCTCAGAAGCATCTCACTGGCTTGTAGCACTGAAAGGCATTGCCCAACCTCAAAACAACATTCCACTGCTCTGGAAAAACTTAAGAGCTTTGTGTGCGTGCGTGCGTGCGTGCGCGTGTGTGTGTGTGTACCTGTGCACAAAGAGATGGGAGAACTTGGGGGTAGGTGTGTTGCAGAAAAAATATACATTGGGGGCAAAGGAAGTTAAGATTTTGAGTATTTTTCTTCCCAGGGACTAGATCAGTTTTGCCATCATCTTTAGCTGGGGCTGCAATCATGAAAAGTAGGGAAGGATTTGGCATTGCCATTCTGGTGCTCTTGTCTCTTAGGGGCTGCGATGGGGTGGGCTGGGGGGGTCTGTGGCAGCCACCTCGAGACACATACCTTCCAAGAAAGAATGTGACAATGTTTGCAAAGCTGAAGGGTGTCTCCATACTGTTCTCTCCGTGGGTAACATCGCACAAGTTTAAAATACATTTTCTTCCAATCCAGCTGGCCTTTGTCTGACAAAATCAATCGCTTGCGGATCTAAATATCAAACAAATAAAAGTAGTTGCAGGAGAGTTCATCAAGAAGACGCTTTGTGGTTTTCTGGTTCTGAAAAGTTCTGTTCATGTCACCTTTCCCCCTTTTCCATCTGTACCCTGCAATAGCCAGGGAAAAAAATAGACAAGATAAAAAGAAACACCTTCTGGGCCAGTTAAACCCAGTTAAACCCAAGCTGATTAACAGTCTTTAAGAGAAGCAAGTGTCTGGTCACATCTTCCTGGTGACTCCTAGTAAACTACCACTGGTAATCCTTTAATGTTTAGGTGATCTCAGTAAACTTAAATCTTCTTTGCTACAGGCTTGAGTGATTATTTACAGGGAGATGCGTAATTGCTTGGTACAGTGGCTCTATTTCCTATTTAATATTGGTGGCTTACATGAGCAGAACTTGATGAACTCACACATCTATATAAAGAAACTGGGGAAAAACCCCGAGGCAGCATGAAGAGGGGAGGCACGCCTAGAGCTGGTGTCGGGCCAAATTCAAATTCAAGGCCAGTTTTCTCACCTGGAGAGGCACTTTACTAATTTGGATATGACACAGCCATTGTGGGCTTAGTCTCTTCATCTGTTTCACGTGAGCATAATGATACCCTTCCCTGGGCTGTGAGAATAAAATGAAGTAATATCTGTAAAAGTGCTTTATAAAATATCATAAAATTAAGTTAGTTTTTGTAAGTTACTTTAGAAAAGAAGGTTTGGTGCCACTTTATGAATTTTTTTTGAACAAGTTGTAGAGTGTGAGTTGGTTAAAATTTTTGTTTCCCATTAAAACCACCTATAAAGAAATCCCCTCACATACATTATTTAGAAACTCCTTGGACTGTTTTTTCCTGTCAACCAGGGAGCCCTGGAGAGAGGGGAACCCACACATCATGCTTAAGAGGAACACCATGGAAGTCTGCGGGGGGAGGGTGGGCAGAAAAGGGAGGGGGATGCCTACTGGGCCCCACTGACCTGGCGCTCTGAGAAGTGGTACTGACAGAGCCTCTTCCACAGGAGACGGTCCTCGCTGAGCACATGCAGGTCGGGGGCCACCTGGCCCAGGCTGACCAGGTCCCGCCCATCGCTCAGCCTCTGCATGATGTTGAGTTGTAAGCACAGAGGCAGGTCAGTGAAGGTGAGGCCTTTGAAGGCAGGCTGTGGGGAGAAGGGTGACGATGAGTTGTAAGCTGCGGGGGCAGAGGGCAGCAGTTCACCAAGTGACGCCCTCCAGGGCTGCAGCCATCCCCTCATCCTCCACTAGCAATTCTCCCTGCCCTAAATGCAGAAACAGGACTGATGGGTGAGACCCATGAAGAATAGCCTGGAGCAGCTCAAGCTGAATGATGCCAGAGGGATTTTCGTGTTTCACAAAGCTTTATACTTTTAAAGATTCTCCAAATAGCAGATGTTGGATTCCTGTGCTTCAATTTACTCAGTTCACTCAATTACAAAATTCTCTATCTCCCTCCAGGGGTCACTGCACTGGACAGGGTGCCCTGCCTGCCAACCCAGCCTCAGATCCCACTGTCCCCCTTGTGACCACTGGTCTCTCCAAGCAGGTTTTCTTGCTGGCATCCAGCACGCTGCCCACTAGGCCCGTCCTCTGCCTAGTCCTCTCTGCCCTCCTCAGATCCAGTTCAAACCCACTTCCTCTGAAAGGCCTTTTCTGCTTTTGTGACTACCTTAGGCTTTATTCATTGCATCTTCCTAGAATTCCTCAGATCTCTTTCAGATATTTATTGCAAAAATCTCCCTTTTGTTAAGTAATGCAAAACTTTTCTAAAAGAAACCTTGACTGGAATATTCCAGCTAAAATGTAAGTGCCTTCGAGGCAGGAATTTTTGTCTTTTTTCATTGCTTTGTCCTTAGAGTCTAGAAGAATGCCTGGCATACACTAGGCGCTCAATAAATATTGGGTGGTGGTGGTGGTGAATGGAACCCAAATAAATAAGTAGGCAAAACAACAAAAGGGCCCTGTATCAGGGTGTGTAATTGTGCTTTGGGAATGGCTGGCCCAGAATGCATGGCCCAACTGCCGCCATCCACAGGGGCATCTCTAGTCAAACCTATGACTCCATAGAACATTTTGAAAACTCCTTGTCTGTGGATAAAATATTGACCGTTAGTCCTGAGGTTTTTCAGGATTGTCTTCTATTACATCCCTGAACTTATATTTAAACCCTTTATTGTTTAAATTTTGATGAGCTCGTATTACCCTACCTAGACCTAGGTCCTTGAAGGCAGGGTCTAATTTCATATCCCTGCAGACTAGCCCAGCACAAATGACTTCTTTTGAGGGCAAGAAACTCAGAAACATAAGCAAATAATTATTGAACAAAATGTTTAATGCTATCAAGGAGTTAAGCACAAAGTGCTCTGGGAACAGTCTGTACACAGTAGATCCTCACTAGTTATTTGCTGATATCTCTTGAACAGCAACTGGATGCTGCCATTTGGATAAGAAGTCAGCACAAATCACCTGAGAATGTACTTTGTCCTTCTTATGCTAGTCCTGATGTTTGACTTGATTGATTACTTGATTTTTGACTATTGACATTTTTAGCTCAGTGTTCTGTCCTCTCTGTGGGGAGTTACAGGGAAAAAAAACAGGATGAAGAAACCCTTCCTTAGCTCAGGGAAAACATTCTGGGAATGGGTATCAAATTCCCTCCCCAAGTTCCTAGGGAACTAAACTTGGTTTGAGGCACATCAAAGCCCAAACACACAGGATTTCAGGGCGATACGCAGTCTTGGCAGTTCCCACCTGTGTCCCCTGAAAAGCAGGACAGGTGTATAGAGGGAAGGTGGCCGGGAGCCTTGGGAAGGGGGCCATGGAGAAGAAGGGGGGGTGGCATGGGAGGAAGGTGGGATGGACAAGCAGCATATATGGATCCCAGGTGCCTTGGGAAGTCTGGGCCTCAATTTCCCCATGTCCAACATGAATCAGTTTAGAAGACTCCGAAGGTCCCTTCCAGCTCCAACAACTGCAGATTTGGAGCAGCTTCAGCCTTGTAACTCATCAGATGTATCTATGACTTGACAGTTTATATTGGTCAGGCTGCTGGGCTGAACTTTCAATTGTTAGCGAAATCCAGGACTTCGCTGGACTGCTGAACGTCCTAGACCTGTTTGTCATTTATCATCTGCTGCTGATCATATGAGCTAATAAAACTGCCATGAGGTTTTCTTTTTGTTTCCAGCACTTCAAAGCATCTACTTTTTTGGTTAAAACTCCCAGGCCAATTATTACATGAACTCCTATTTAAGTCCACTTGGCAGAGTTCACTTTCAAATTTTCAGACCTGAACTTTTCCAAAATCCTTGCCCAGACCCCATGCTGAGCCCTCACTCCTGATACATGGTTAACTGCTTGCGTGCATTCTTCTTTTTGAATATAAACGTATTTTTAAAAGCCACTCTTGCCCCTCCCATTGAGCAGTTGACTAAAATCCTTTTATGTCCATCCTGCCCCCACTTGCTCCAACACTACTTTGCCCACAGTACAGTGATTCTATTTGATTTTTTCCCCTCCAAATCAGTTCTCTCAGTTTTTTTCCCCCTTCATCCTTTAATAATTATTTTTGCCAATAAAAATTGGCTCTACAGAATTATATATCATGTCTTGAAGGAAAATTAGTTTATGTGCTGAGAAGATACTGAAAGAACTTTGGCCAATACAAAGCAATTACGCTCTAAATGTCACCTTAACATTTTTGTGTAATAAACTGTTAAGTAAGTTTTTTTTTTTTAAATTTTGGCATCATTAATCCACAACTACATGAAAGACGCTATGTCCACTAAGCCACCCCCTCACCAAGTCACACCCCCACACCCCCACAGTCACCATCCATCAGTGCAGCAAGATGCTGCAAAATCCCCACCCGTCCCCTCCACGCTGCACAGCCCTCCCCACACCCCCCCACACCACACATGCCAATCATAATGCCCCCCTTTAGGTAAGTTTTAAAATATAGTCCAGACTGAAGTAACTAAGTCCTCTCTCAATCTTTCTTTCCTCTGGAGAGTTGGATATTTGTGTGAAAAGCTCTTCAGAGCTCCATGGGTTTCTAGCACTGCTCTCAAAATAATGCTGCTCAGAGCCAAGGAGGATTGGGAAGGAAGGCATAAGGGAGGAGGGGGCAGTGGGTAAAAGCACAGTCCCCATAGACAGGCCTGGGTTCAGTCCACATGCTGCACCTTACCTGTAGTGAGGCTTAGGCCAGACTATTCTCAACTACTCCATCTAATATTTCTCATTTATAAAATGAGGAAAAGCATATCCTATAGTGTTGCTGGACAGAGAGGATGAGATAAGCATAGAAGTATTTAGCATAGTGCCCAATAAATACTAGCTATTATAATAGCTCCTGCTTGTAATTATTCACTTGATGAGTTAATATATGTGAAGGACTTAGAACTGAGTGTCCACCGCCGACACATTTGCATACTGTGTCTCCATGCATTCTCCATGGTGGACGCTTCCTGATAAATAGCAAGAACACAAGCACTTTCTATATGTAAACTTACTAAATCTTACACCAGGGCTATGTGGTAGGCATTACTGCCCTATCATCCATACAGGACGTGTTCCAATCGTATTCCTCTTAACTCTGAACAAGTACTTCAGGCAGGGGGAGACATCCCTTCATTCATTCATTCATCTAAAATTTATTAGCTGCTTTCTGCTCTTGTGTAAGGTGGAGGCAAGAAAGGAGAGGCCAAGATGGTAGTGCCCTTTCTTTGTGGTGTTTATAAGCCAGTGGTGGAGACAGGAAAGTGAATATATGTATAATTTCAGATGGTAATAACTGCTCTGTAGAAGGTGAGATGATAGTGGCTCCAGCAGACTGGATGGGCAGAGGAGGCAGCAAGCTCAAAAGCCCTGAGGCAGGACCAAGCTTAGAATGTGCAGAGAATAGTTTGGCCTGGATGCAGGGCCATGAGCAGAGGGGAGAGCGAGATGAACGTCAGTGTTTGATCTGTCCTGTATGGGTTTTTATGGGATTTAAAAGGTCTGCAAAAAACTGGATTATTGAATGTGTAGTTGGAAGAAACCTGGGTTGAAAAAAAGTTTCAAAAGCACTGATGTTAAGAAACCTTCACCATTTTAGGACTGAGGAGACCAGGTTCTGGCCTTAGCTCTGGCCCTAATTGCTGTCAAACTCAGGGAAAGTCACTGGGTTTCTCTGGTCCCCTCTCCACTCTGGCACTATGAAGGTAAGAGCACCTACAATGGCTACCACCCAGAGTGTTTGTGTGTTGCAACCCCAGGGTTTCTAGGGAAGTAAGCTCATGGAAGTGCAAAATTCATGGGCAGTCATGGCCAAAAATCCAAATGGGTGCCCCAGAGTTGCTGGAGAGCACTTGAGACAAATGGGGCTTGCTTATTTATATCACTGGCTGGGTAACTGTCTCCCAGGCTTTGATAAAACAGTAAGTGTTAAGTCCAGGCTATAGAGAATACCAGAATTCAGGTAGGAGGTATACATGGGTTTTCTGTGAGAAATAAGCTCGGAGTTTGGGTCTCAAATTCACACTGTCCAACTATGCCTACACTTGAGAGATGGGGATGAGGTAAATTACTAGAATAAATCAGAAAAATGTTCATAATACCCACACTCTCTTAAAGTAATCAAATAATTGAGATGGCTTTTGGAAGATCCTCTGGGCTCATGCTCTGCTCCATGTGTGCAGGAGTGTGGCAGTGTGGGAGCTGTAGCCTAAGTGATTATAAGGGAGTCACATAACTGAGACTTCTAATTACTCCCTCTGCTTCAGAGCTTAAGAAACGAAGGCCCAGAGAGGTTACTAACAGTAAAGTGAAGGACAGTGCATTTTGAAAACTTCGTGGAGTGAAATATTTAAAAGAGGTCAAAGAGGTTTTCTCATGTTACTTTCTCGAGAGACGGGGCAGACCCAAACTTTCCTAGCTTGGGTCCCGGAACCACTTAAAACCGCAGTCAGTGATTAGATAAGCAGCCAAGTGCTGCGTGAGCTGCCTAAGTGTCTGCCCATTAGTGAGCCGTGTGAGATGACACCATGGATTGCTCACTTGTTTTGTGGGTCCTAGTCCTCCTGCTCAGTAGTAACAGGGCAAGAGTTGAGGGCCAAGTTAATACTTTAAAAGCCAAAAGCAACTACTGATAGTAGTTGAGCTGGTAATATAATGATATAGGCAGGGCCTTAAACATTTTTTTTGTTTTGTTTTGCTTTGAGTGAGAATTGCTCATCTCTTTTCTTATGTGTATGTTCACAGTCTTTAATCAAATACTTTGTCATAACCACTAATAACTGGAACTAGAATTTTAAAAGGTTGGTACCAGTTCTCCAAGCCACTGCCATCACAGCTCTGTTGTGTTGAAGGCAGCATTCTATGGCTGTGAACAGGTCATTGTTTAAGGGGAAATGGGCAAAGAGAGATCTCTGAATCTGCCTGAAGGTTTCAATGGTGTAGCCATCATTGCCCCTAAATTCAAGTTTCCAGTTTCCCCATGTTTCTGTTGGCTGTCATCTCACATACTTTGGTCCTGTTTTGCCAACTTTATCTTCCCACCCTCCCTTTACCCAGAAGTCCCTCAACCCACTCTCAGTACCCCATAGAGAGTGTCAGAAAGAGCAGAGCAGTCCAGACCCTCCATCACCAGAGTGGATTTAAAGTCCTGGCGAGACTGCCCAGCATCTCTGCAGAGGAGCCGCCTGAAGCCCTTCCTGGAGGAAGAAGCCAGGCTTGCCAGCTCCACTTACCCTGGTAATTTGGATGTTGTTCAGCTGCTGCTGCCAGTGTAGAATCGTCTCCATTCGGTACACCCACATGTTGATGTTCCCGACCAGTACAGACTTGCCGACTCTCTGAACTAGTGTACATAAGGATGTGTAGAGGGTCTGGAGTAATTCCCTTATTAGTCTAATGTTTTGCTGGTCTTCAAGGACTTAAGTGGGGAAGAAAAAGAAGTAATAACAGTTATGATAGCGGAACACTCTATAAGTGGGCCTTTCTTCTTTATTCTGCTCATGTTACCTGGTACTACCTCTGGAGATACGGTTTTCTTTCTCTCTAGTATTTATTCTACACTTGGCCAAGCGTCTACCCTTGAGGTTATTGGGTAGAGTTTCCACTATCTAGGTCCCTCTTTGTTTTCTTCTCTCTAGTTTTCTACAAAGACTCTTTCTCTTTTCATTGTTCCACCAGCACCAATGACTCACCTGATCTGAAAGCAGTTTCTTTTGCCCAGAAGTGATGTTTCTTTTAGGTGGTCAGTAGTAGGAGCACGGCTCCAGGGGTCAAGAACTGGGATTCTAATCCTGTCTGGCTGACTCTGGGATTATGGGTAATCACTCTCACGGGCCTCAGCTTCCCAGTATATACAATGAGTTAGTTGAGTCAGAGAGTTCCCTCTAAAGTTCCCCTTGCTCAAATAGTTTGTGACTCTACTCTGCCTTGTACACAGTTCAATTTTCTAGGGATTTGGAATCCAGACTCTTGGTAGCCAAGGTTGGGACAGATGCCTGCACTGAGAAGCCTGAGAGGCCTACAGCAGGGCAATGCATAATCCCAATAGAAGGATAGGAGGGTGATGAGCATGAGTGGCACTCCTTTCTGAACTGGAGTCTGGTACTCCTGAAATGCATCTGGAGTTACTTAGTTCCATCACTCACGTTCCTTTAAATCTAATGACATGTCCACTTTCTTGGATCCATCTGCCCATCCCCAGGCCTATAAAAAGGGGTGACAGATTGAGAGAGAGCTCACCTTTCAGTACCACTTTTTCCAAAATGTTCATGAAGTTCTTTTGGGCAATGCCACTCAAGGATGTAAGCTGTGACTTTGCTATCAGTTCCAACAGCTGTGGATAAAAATAGAAGTTGCTAGGCTTAGAATACAGAGATATTTTTCTCCTCTAATCTTTACTTTTGAGTCACATGACACATAGATACAGACTGACGGGGAGAGATAAATGGCAGGCAGAGCCTTAATGCAATAAAAAGCAGATGTTCAAAGTGAAAGACAAATGAGGGTAATTCAAAACCCAGGAATCAGGCTGAATATTTAATTGCTTTTTCTCTTAAATATAAAGAGTTTGGCTTCAGCCAGGGTGAATTCATTCTACTTGCCCTACTCCAGCAAGTAAAGTGGAGGTATTCTGAAGGGAACAAAACCTCCGATGACCTGTGAGTGTTTGGGTTGAACATAATCACTCCCACGGGGAATTCTACCCCTACTTAACTTCTTCCTCCCGGCACCACCTGCTCTCAAGGCACCACCTAAAAGCTGATGGTCATCAGTGATGTGCACTTTCCAAGGAAGTGGCAGTTCTTACCTTGCTTATGCAGTGCTCAATAAAAATGTCTATTAATGAGAATCTTCCATTGCACTTAACTTTGTGTAGAAAGGTGAGAAAGAAATTCAGGGATATATGGTATATATACATGTTTTTGTATGGAGGTTAGGATCCTTGTAGTTCTTAGCCCTAGGTTCAAATCTTGATTTGACCACTGGTGAGCTCTGTGTCTATGGGCAACTTACTAAATTTCTTGGTGCCCCAGGTTCTTCTTCTGTCCTAATAATACTTAGAGTCCCCGAGATTGTTCAGAGCTTTAAATGAGGGAATGCATATGAAGACCTTAGCACAGTGCTGGCACAGATTTAGGTGGCAATTAAGGTTGGTTTGTTTGTTAAAGGAGTGTGTCCCATCCCTCCCACCTCCATTATCACCAAAAAAAAAAGACATAAAGATAACAATTTGTTGGTATATTCTTAGCTCAATCTTTCTTCAATAGTAAGATTATTTACAGATGTGGCAAGATTTAAAAAAATCAAAGATTTCTATTGTTGAAAAATGAAACTTTTGATTAGAAGGGCATCTTAGAAATGATTTAGTTCAGCCCATTAAATAGATGAGCAAAGTAAGGCTCAAGAGCCTAAACCTTACCAAAATACTCCCCAAAAAGTGGGAAGACTCAGCAGTCCTTCTCAACATACTTCATGCTTTCACAGTTATCAAACAAAAGAGGTTGATATAAAGTAAAAGTAATTAGTTTTACTGGAACCCAGCAGGCTCCCAAGTAAAGCTAGCCTTAGACTTAGTGTACTAGACCTAGAGACTCAAGACCATCCTACCCCCAACCCCACCCCACCACCACTTTTTACATTAAAGCTTGAATCCCTGCTCCTAGGAAACTTTCCGAGGGAGTGTCATTGCCTGGCCGAGCCCCAGCCCAGCCTCACTTGAGGTCAGTAAATACTGAGTGGGACATTGTGCTGGGCACTGGAATTAAGGCTGAGGGAACAGCAAAGTGACATTCTAAAGATGGGGCTGCAGAGGAGAACTGAAACTTTTGGCTCAAAGCCCTGGGCAATTCAAAGAACCTCTGCTTCCAAGGCATTTGTTTAAAACTTTTGTCACTGTGGAGCCCCTTAGGAGCCTGTCAAACTGTGAACAGACTTAATTTCCTGAACATAGTTTAAGTTAAGGAAAAAAAAAAAAACCCAAGCCTTTTCCTGCCTGGCTTATGTGTCACTCACGTATGCAGGGAGGGATATCTGACTGGGAGAAGAAGGCAGAAAAGGCTGGGGCTGGGTTGTTGAGATTAGTTCTGGTGACCTAAGGTTGGAAGTCAGGAGTTGACCAAGTGCCTGCTAAGAGAGGCAAAAAGTCCAAACATCAGTAGAGGTCATATCCCTGGGCAGTGACCACACTGAATGCCCTCTGCTTCTTTGGTTCAGTTCTGTCACCAACCAGCACATGATACTCAAGAGGAGTGAAAAATGGCACAAAGGGACTGGCTAAACCTTTCATTTATCTCCCTGACTAACAACAAGATTCGGAAGGCCAAGCTGATGGTCTATTAATACCCTAAGCCTCACATGACCAGCACTGAGCAAGATGAAAGAAAACAAAAGCCTTAAGTTGCTCTCTGAAGGGCAGTTGGCTGTGCACTGTGACTCATCATGGGGTGGAAGAGGGCAGGCAGAGCTCTGCCTGAAATCCAGCCAAAACCCAGGTTCCATGTGACTGCCATCTCATGAGGGTGTCAGTGTTAATCTTGTCTAAAAATGTACCAATCACAAGGACAAGAAAACTCAAAGCTATGACTATGCATTTAGGGAAAAAGCAAAAGCTCTCTGGTCTGATCCAGGTGATATTTGACTAAGGCGGAGGAGGAATATACCAGCAAAAGTGTCAATTGACAGCAGAATGACATGTCAACTACTCTTTTTAATCCTGTCTTATGAGAATGTCCCTCTTTTCACTGCCAGGAAGCTGTGGGGTCAGGAGAAAGGACCCTGTAATAGGAGGAGACCTAGATTCTCTAGCTCGGTGATCTTTACAACTGTCTTTCATGTAGCAAGTATTTCCGAGTGTCCACTCTGCCCCAGCATTGTGGTACATACATGGATATAATGATAACGACACATGATTCCTAGACTCATGGAGTTTACTGTCTCGTCTATGGTATAAGTCATTTAACCTCTCTGAACTCCAGTTTCTTCATTCCAGTTTCTGAAATGGAAATAAAAAGACTACCTACTTCACAGGTTGTTATGATAAGCAAATAAGATAAATATGTAAAAACCCACTGTAAGTACCAAATACAGGGCATATTATTATAAGGTATTATTTTTTCCCCCTCCCGAATCCCTATCTTTTAGTGAAGGTTAAAGTTGCTAGCAAGGGTTAGCAAATTTTTTCTGTAAAAGGACAGAAAATAAATATTTTATGCTTTGTGGGACACATAGTTTTTGTTGCAACTACTCAACTCAGTAGCTGTAGTGAAAAAGCCCTCTTAGATAATAGGCAAATAAATAGGTGTGGCAATGTTCGAATAAAACTTTATTTACAAAAACAGATGGGGGTCAGATTTGGCCCTAGAGCCACACTTTGCCAACTTCTGTTATAAAATAGAATTTAAGAGTGAGGGCTCCAGAGCCAAACTGCCTGCCTCAGTTTCCTCATCTCAAAATGCACATAATAATAGCACCCACTTCAGAGTGCTGTGAAGATGAAAGGAGTTCCTATAGCACTTGTAACAGTGCCTGGTATAAAGATTATACTCTAATTATTATTCATTTTAATCATAATATAGAGAATATTACTAGGTAAAATTACTGCCAGGAGGGCATAATGAATTAGTAGGGTAACATACAGCTGGCTTAAGAGACCTTTAGGATCCCTGTATTTCAATTTTATGTATTGTCAACCAAATTCTTAAATGCTTTCAAGTTTAAAATTCCTGCCTGTCATTTTTATGTCTGTGATACATTTAATAGTTCCCTATCTGTGGATAAAAGTTAATGTTGATAGATTTTGTGACTTACATAGTTGCATCTACTATGAAGTCTTAACTTCTTACCTTGCTAACAATAATGGGTGTTTATTACATGCCAGTGGCTGTTTTTTGTTTTTTTAAATTTTATTTTGATATCGTTAATGTACAATTACTTGAACAACATTATGGTTACTAGACTCCCCCTATTATCAAGTCCCCCCCACATACTCCATTACAGTCACTGTCCATCAGCATAGTAAGATGCTATAGAATCATTACTTGTCTTCTCTGTATATACTGCCTTTCCCGTGTGCTCCCCACCTACATTATGTGTGCTAATCGTAATGCCCCATTTTCTACATTATCCCTCCCTTCCCACCCATCCTCCCCAGTCCCTTTTCCTTTGGTAACTGTTAGTCCATTCTTGGGTTCTGTGATTCTGCTGCTGTTTTGTTCCTTCAGTTTTTTCTTTGTTCTTATACACCACAGGTGAGTGAAATCATTTGATACTTGTCTTTCTCCACCTGGCTTATTTCACTGAGTATAATGCCCTCTAGCTCCATCCATGTTGTTGCAAATGGTAGGATTTGTTTTCTTCTTATGGCTGAATAATATTCCATTGTGTATATGTACCACATCTTTATCCATTCATCTACTGATGGACACTTAGGTCGCTTCCATTTCTTGGCTACTGTAAATAGTGCTGCGATAAACATAGGAGTGCATAACCAGTGGCTGTTTTAGCACTTCACATGTGTGATCGTGTTTAATCTTCAATGACAACCCAATGAGGTGGGTTCTCCATTTGATGAAAGAGGATACAGCAGTTCAGAGATGTTAAGTAACTCCCTAAAGGCAATCCAGCAGTAGGAAGGGGTGGAGCCAGGACTTGAGCCCAGATGCATCTAACAGAGAACATGCATTTTAGTAGCTCAAGGACCTCAGTTTGTTAAGGCCAATCAAATTTGCATCTACAGCCAAACTTTACCCTAAAAATAGTAGCAATATCATGTATTGTTATGTTCTGGCAAAGAATCTGGAAATTTTATATCAGTACTACATTGGGACATATAATCAGCTGTTAACATTAAGGGAGAAATAATGCCCAGAAAGTGTTAATAACATATTTGGGTTTGTCTACAAAAACCTAAAAAAACATTTAGGTTTATTTTCCATGTCAGCATAACCTATAGGCCGTAAGGTAGTCCCATGTGGAACTAATGGTAAAGAGGACAGAAATCATTAATTTTATTTCTGCGTTAAGAGAGCTGTGTGCTTAGGGGAGTAGGATTATATCTAGCAGATGACTTACCCAGTTGGATTCTTTACCCCTAAACCACAAGAGAAAAAGAGAGCAGGGGAAAAGATCTTGTTTGGGAATGCCTGTTTGTTTTCAGCTGGGCAAATTTTAACTCAGGTGCCAGTAATCTGTGGCTGTGTAAGGAAAGGTAGGCGGGCAAAGGGGGAGGAAGAGGGAGAGCTCTCGGCTCCTGATTTCCATGGTATCATTACTGTATCCAGCGTGATTTGCAGTGACTATCATGCAATACAGGAATGGTTCTGGGCTACTGGAGGA